CCCCGAGAAACTGAATCCTTTGAATGTATTTAGGAATTTCAGGGTTGTGAGTCTGTGAGATAACAAGAGGTAGATAATAACTGCGAGAGGGTTTGCGCTAAGGGTTATATTGTTACACGTGTAAATAATGAAAATATTGTTATATATCGCCAGATCTCTTAATGAATTTAGTAATTGTATTCATTTATAATATCAGTGTTCTGTGCTTGGTAACTGAGTCGGCATCATTCTCCTTACTCTTTCTTTTTTTTTTGTCTTTTTTTTTTTTTTTTTTTTTTTTTCTGCCTAAAGGAAAGCCAAATGTTTTACAAAGTTATGTTTGATCAGTCTGGGTAATCCCGAGATGTGATTATTTATAGTTTACATTTTCATATCCTGCGGTCCTCAACTACGCCCCGGTCTTCTCACTCACATCCCATCCTTCCCCCGTCGAGTCTGTACAAAATAAATCATTTTCAGGTGTATTTTAAAAAGTCATCTAACTGCTGTCGGTCCGCTTATTTTCCGGAATTTAGCAAAGAGCTCTACCTTGGTTTAGAAAAAGCAGCGGTTCCTATCGGATCTTTACAGAATCCTGATGCTTTAATGTAGTGACTCGTGTTTGCACATGACGATGCTCATAACTTGTTGTGTATGAATGGTTTGAAATGGAACGTTTAGAGAATAATCGGTTCGATTATGAAACGCAGTATATACTATTGATAATTTTATCAATAAGTGTAATATTTTAAATAATTTTAACAATTAAATTTGTTTTTTTTTAAATTCTATATTTGTAAACTATTTATGCGGGAGGCTCGGGGGAGGCTGCGGGGCGGCGCGGTGCGGTGCGGGGCGGTGCGGGGCGGCGGTGGCGGCGGCAGCTGCTGCGGGTCCCACAAGTTGTTTTCCTCGTGGCGACCATTCAGCAAAACGCAGGATTCTTTCTCCAAGATTTAAATTTCGCGGATGAATTACCATACAGCGGTTGCTTAGCAACTAAATTCAAGCCGGGCTAAGAATATGCAAGCTTTTTGTATTCTCATTAATAAAAATGCCACTCTGACACAGCAACCTGACTTTGGATCACTGCAACTTCTGTAAAAGCCATAGGAGAATACAAACCGGCTCCTCCATTTAATTACAGATCAGAGTGGCTTGAAATGTGATGTTTTGTTAATCTATCTTCCTAAATTTATCCTGTCGAAAGCAACAATATATTGTTGTATTTATTCGTTTATTTTTGTAATAAATGATCGACACCTTCAAGCTACAGCCAGAGCGATACTTCTATATATTTTTAGAGGGATACCTTTTTTTGAAGGCGCAGGGATGCTTGTTGCCATTTGCACGAGAGTGTAAAGATTGCCCGTGTCAGTGGCGGGCTGCTGGACCAAACTGTAGGCGGGAGCTTCTTCTCCACATGGACTTTAGTTTGCTTAAGTTCCAGGGTAATTAATCAAACTCTAAAAGGGACGCAACAAGTCGCGGCCTCGGAGACAGGCGTGGAGCGAGGGCTGGAGGGACAGGGACCGGTTTGGCTAAAATTTGGGTTGGCGCGAGGATGCTCGGTGGCCTGTGGCGAGGCGGCTGGAGGGAGCGAGCTGCGGGGAGGTGGTTTCCCCAGCGGTATTTTCAGTTGCAGTTTGGAATAAAGGAGCGGGGGCAGCCTTCAATGGGCGGCGGGAGAGAAGGGGAGAGGGAGGCAGCGAGCGACCCCGCGGTGTCAATGACACAGCAGTAGGGAGCTTTTTTTTTTTTTGCTTTTTTTTTTTTTTTTTTTTTTTGGCTGAGAGGCTTTGGCGAGACAAAAAAAGCGAAAGGGGTGAAGGCCGAGCGGGGGGAAGGCTCGTCGCCCGTCCCGTCCCATCCTCCCCGACGGCAAAGGAGCAGCCGGGGACGCGGGGGGCGCCCACGGGGCCGCGCCGTCGGGGTCGCGCCGTCGGGGAAGCATCGGGACCTGTCGTCCGTTCCCCCCCCCCTCCTCCTTCCTCCCACTGGGGCCGTGCCCGGCGCGGGTAAACGGGGGTCTCGCCTTTCCCCACGCGTGGATAGGTCGCTCCGGGAAAGCGCCGACGGGGCGGCCGGCGGTGGTGCCCGGTCGCGGCTCTCTCCCCGGCGGGGCGACCCGGGGTGGGGGGGCGGCCGGACCGGTGGTGGCGGCGGGCGCGATGTAAAAAATAACGGCTTTTCAAGAGCAGTGGAAAACTACTTTTTTTTTTAATGGAGCTGTCTCCTGGTGCTACTGATGGCTGTAAAGCGAAACCTTTTTTTTGAGTCACACTTTCAAGTAGCATCCCCCCTTCCGTTTTGAGTTTCCTGAAATCAAAAAAAAATAAAACATTAAGACATTTGGAGCCACAGGGAGGGGGGAAAAAAAAAAAAAAAAGAAAAATAAACAAGCTGCAGCCGACCAGCGCGTTGGAGAGGCGAAAAGGGAGTTGGGAAAGGGAAAGGGGGGGGATTTAGAGATGTCAAGGTGCAGCCCCAGGCGGGCACAGCCCCACCATCGGGGTGCAGCTCCGTCCTTGCTCTGAAGCAGGAATCTCTTGCGCCCAAACGGCTCTCTTTAGCATAAAGTGCGGGGGTACTTCGGCTGGGGAGGGAGAGCGGGAGAGAAGCCTTCAGGGACACCTTGTTGAACGTTTCTCTCCAAAAATTTATTTCCCCTTCCGCTAACATTTACTTTCTGTTGCTCTTAGATCGGCGGGGATAAAGCTCTTGGCGTTAGATTTCTGGCATCGCGCACCCCATCTCGTATAAATGGGAGAATGACCTCATCAGAGGAGGGCTGTGTGTATAGATAGGATTATTTAAACATAGACTAGACACCTACATATAAATCTATATATAAAGATGTGTGTGTATGATATATATATATACGCGTGTGTGTGTGTGTGTGGACGCTTTTAGCAGTACCAAAAAACTGTCCTGCCAGCCCCGGAGCCTGCAGGCAGGGCTGCCATCCCCCGCAGCGTTTGGAGGGATGCTGGCTCTGATGCCCCTCTCCGCAGGGAGCGGGCGGGAGCCCTCGGGTACCGCGGCCGCGCAGGGTGCGGGGGGCCAGGGCCGGAGCCGCCTCTCTCTCCTCTCCTCTCCTCTCCTCGCTCGCCATTGTGTGCGGGCCACTGGCCGCGGGAAGGGCTGGCCGCCCCCGGGACGGGGCAGTGGCTGCAGGGGCCGCTGGTCGCTGTTACTGGCGGCTGGGAGGTTACTTGTGGTGCTCTTGTTAGTAACAAAGAGTTAAATCCAAACTTTCTTCTCCCTTCTCCCCCCCCCCTTTTTTTTTCTTTTTTTTTTTTTTTTTTTTTTTTTTTTTTTTTCTTGTAAGTGCTAAAATTGAAGCTGAATTGTAAAAATCCCAAGCCATGTTGAAAGTTCAGCCACGTGGGGTTTTTTAATTTTTATTTTTTTATTTTATTTTTTTTTTTCCGACGGGGTTGGTCTGCAGGAGGGGAAGGGGAACTCGGAGGTCTGGCCGAGCTGTGCAGGTCACTGAGGAATCAGGGGTTCCCCCTCTTACTCCCTCCCCGCTTCTCTCTTTCTCTTCTAAGGTTTTCTTTTCTCCCCTGAAAGGGGGAGGATGGTTTGAAGGGGGGGGTGACAGGGGGCAAAGGGGGTAGGTATTTTCCAGACGTGAGTTTGTGGTGGAGGGAGCTCGTTTTCTCAGCAGGATTTGGTCTCTACTCACTTTATAACATAGAACAGCAGACCAAACAAACAAACAAACAAAAAATTAAAACATTTCCCATATAACATATACCAAGGGAAGAAAGGCAGTGAAGTGAGAACCTGTGAAGACTAGAGTCCCCCTGAAACTCAGGCTCACCCAAAGCTTTAGCAGAGTGTTTTGCTTCTCTCCTCAACGGTTATAGGATGAGTATCACAAGGCTACAGCATAAATAATCACATTCCCTTCCATTTTGCATCTCTCTCTCTCTCTCTCTAACAGAGTTGAGATTAAAAGCCAAAATCCGAGCACAGCCCTTACAGAGCGGTTGCATTGTGCCAGTACATATGTTTCCCACTCACATGTTGAAAACTGTACCTTCAAACATAGGCTTGTTTCTGATAGCTTGCGTTTCTTCATCTACAAAGGGGAAAAAAAAAAAAAAAAGCTAAACAGAACTTTTCTGAATTGTTCCTACTGCGCACATCAGTGGGTGAAAAGGCGGCGTCACATCAGCTCCATACCTTCAACGCAAACAGGGGAGGTTTAGCAAGACAAGCTCACTGGCATAGCAGAATGGTGATCTTTATTTTAGCGTGGGGGTGGTTCAGAACCTATTGGACACCAGTACGGAGTGCCACAAAGTGTCTGGTTTGACACCAAACTTCCCTCTGGCTTGCTGCTCCTTGATGCCAAACTCCTGGTCACTCCAAGTGTCCCCTCGTTGCCCTTCTTGCCAAGCACACGGTACAGAGGAGAGTTTCGACCCACAGGGATGGTGCTTTCAGATGAAACCACTGCATCATGTCTTCCAAAGTCCAGGCACAGGGTCCCAGCAGAATTATTTCTTCCTTGGAAGGAGCCTAAGAGAAGAAGGGGAAAAATGGATTAGAAAGGGGGAAAGAGCTGGGACTGTTCCCCTCACTGGTAGTAGGCCTGCTCTTAAACACAATGTCAAGGCACCCGAGATACGGGTGTGAAATGACAAAGACAGACGCTATTTCTTCCTGAGGTCCACCTTGAGTGGAGAAAGCCAAAAGGTTGTTGACTGTCTTGCCACCGGGGCCACCCTTTCAAATTGAAATGAATTGATTTAAAAAAGCAGGGACTGGCTAATGGGGGAACCGCATGGCTGCTATATTTATGTGCATCAAACCGAAATTTAAACAACTTGAGGCAGTGTGGGCTGTATAAACGTTTTATATATAGTAACCTTTTTGTTATTAGTTTTGGAAATGCTTGGTGCTACTTCCCTGCCAGAGCTCCATGGAGCTGACTGTAACAGCATTCAGTCTATGCTACAGGCGAGCGGGAACTGTTTGCTCAACAACTCCAGGCTCCATTTCCAACTGGAGTGCTAACGGACACCCTGAGCTGGTCACATAAACTCAGGTAGCCCAATGGACGCCGACCACTTCACCGAGCAGGCAGCTGGAATTACAAAAAGCAAGTGTGTGTGGCTGGAGGGGAGGTGGGGGCTGGAGGGTCTTCTGAGTGGGTTGGTTTAGTTGGTGGGATTTTTTTCCCCACTCTATACGAGAGCCAGAGGACGGGCACATCCTCTGAAGCTGAGTTTGGGCTCGTCTTTCCACCTCCCCTCCAAGTTCGAGACATTGGGAATATTTACCAAGTACAAAAGAAATGAGAAGTGCTGGGCATTGATCATTATTATATCCCTTCCCCGACAGAAAATGGGCCCAGGATAGCAGAGCTGAAACTAATCTTTCTACAAGGGGGAAAAGAACTGGGTTGGTGAAGAATTGTGCTGAAGTAACACACATTTATTTCGTCTTCTGGAGCTCTCATTGAAAACAGGGGCCCATCTGCCTGAGTGGGGCATTTCTCAGAGAAACCTAATAGATATTTGTTCCAGAGTCCACACTAAAGCCACAGACCAAATGTAAGGTGCAAGGCTCTCCATTTGTCTCTCTCGCATGCATCCCCACACGCATACAAGCATACACTCCCTTCTCTTCCTAAAATAATAAAATACCCTCTCCCCAGTTCTGCTGCCTTCTCTATTTTATGCAGATCCATACTCAAATGTGTACCAAAATTCTTAACTCAGTTTGCTGAAATCACCTAGATTGTCGAGGAAATTAAACTAAACAAGGAGCTGTGTGAAATGTTGAACTTTAAATACCATCCGCTACCTCGAGAAGAAGAAAATGAGTCAATAAACGCTCAGGTTTCTGCTACGTTCAGATTATCGTAATTAAAAGAATTATTTTGTTAGATTTTTTAAATTTTTTTTTAGTGTGTTGAGAGTTCCCTCATGCTCTGCTAGTGGGTATTTGAAAATAATGCTCTTTCCCTTTTGATTTTGGTCTGAAGGCAGGATTATGGTGTCTCCCCTAGGTGTTAATGACGGATACGGACGCGTTTAATCTTATGAACATACGTGTATTTCTGTGGATACCAGGCGAGATGACAGTGTCATTCTCAGTAACCCAGCAGAGGCGTGTTTTTACCTGAAGAACTGGGCTTGGGCTGGACGCTGCTGGTTGTTTGGGGGGTTTGGTTTTGGTTTTTAATTGTCCTGCCTATTCTCTCAAGTCAATATTAACGCCACGGAGCAGGGCTGAGGCCAGGGCTGAGTGAGCCCCGTCATTAACAATAGCATAAACAAAGGAAGGGGACCAGCTACCTTGACATGAGATGCCCGCTTTGTTCCCGAGCCTCCAACTGCATCCCGAAGCCCATCCAGGGAAGTATTGCCTACGGGAACGAATAATCCACTCCGCCTATTGTCCCAAATCCCCTGGAAAACAAAACAACGCAACCAAAACAAAGATGACAAGGCAACCCCGCTCCTCACGGAGCCGGCGAATGGTTTCACCCCCTCCTTGCCTTTCCCTCCCCTTTCTCCCGGCCACTCCTGTCGCTGTCGCGCTCCCCGACGACGGCTGCAGCCCACGGGCGTGTTCCCACCTGGCTCAAGCACCCCCAGTCCCCCACTTTCTAGCGGGAAAAGGGGTTGGAGAAACCCCCTCCGGTGCCCAGGGGAGGGCTCCTGTGCCTCCGCAAGCTCGGCCGGATCCCTCCCGCAGCCGGAGGGCTCCGCGTTGGACGGGGTGGCCCGGCGGGGTGACCGCCCTCGCCCCCCGCCCCGTCCTGCGGGCAGAAGGGATTGACCTCCTCCTCATCATCCTCCTCCTCCTTCTCCTTCTACTTCTCCCGGCGTGGCCTGGCCCTGGGGCAGCGCAACAGCCCCACGCACCGCCGTGGGGATGTGGGGGAGGCGGGGTGGTGGCCCAGCGTGTCTCTGTGTGTGTGTGTGTATCTCCATTGTCCTTCCAGCTTCGCTCCTCGCGGGGTGGTTTTCCCCCGTGGAGGGGCCCACCCAGCGCTGCCCTCCCTGCCTGCTCCCTGCCCTCTCTCTCTGGAGCCCCCTGTATTTGGCAGAAACGCCTAGAGAAGCCCCCCCCTCCTCCTCCTCCTCCCCCCCCCCCCCCCCTCTTCTCACACCCAGCCGGTGGAGCCTGCGTGGAGTGGAAACGTCTCTTTCCTCTGCCAAAATAAATGAAGCTCCCCGCACCCTGTTCTGCCTCCCCCCGCTCCTACAGCCCCGTGCGGGCCGTCGGGGCGGAGGGACGGAGAGGATGCCCGTCCCCAAAGTTTGCGGGGGGCTTCTGTGACCTCGTCCTGCTCCGCACAGGGTGGGGGGAGCCGGCCCAGGCCATAGGAGCGCTGCCGTCGGGTTTGCCACCGCTTCGGGGGCCGCTTTTGTTCCCGGTGCGCTCGGGGGGAGCAAGTTCAACACCCGGGAGCCCCTGTGCCTTCGCCTGGCTCTCCGGGAGAAGATGGAGTAGACCTGGTGGCATAGCCCCAAGTAGATGGAGGCCTCAGGAGACAGATGCATCCATCCACCCCAGATGCAGCCAAATTCATCCTCGCGACGTGGATGTGGATGGGGGGGGATATAAGGGGTAGGGAAAGAGGTGTTTTGGACCTCAAGCCCTTGCTTCGCAGGTTAAGGGCTCCCTCCTCAAACGTTGCCAGACGGTACTGGGCTGACGGGAGGGGAGAAGGGAGAAAGGAAAAAAAAAAAAAAAGAAAAAAAAAAGAACATCAACATTAGTGCAAATTTCAAAGCACTGAAAATAGCTCTAAGAAATCCCGGGGATCCACCGCCGGTTCTTTTTTTCCCGGGACAGAGGCATTAGGGGAAGCTTTTCTCCGAGGTGCCTGTGAGCCGCGGCTGCCTGTGCGGGGGAGGGGGGGGTGCAAATAAATCCCCGGCAATAATCTAATGCGGGTGAGCTGCCCCGACGACAAAGTGCCGCCACAAACGCAAGCCGTCTTTTTTTTTCTTTTTCTTTTTTTTTTTTTTTTTTTTTT